AAAAGGAAAAAAAAAAAAAGAAAAGCTTTCGGTGCTTGCTAATAGAATTTTGGTGGTGTATGAATAATGTTGGGAAGTGTTGTGGCTTTCACTATTGTGTCCGCACATGTGGTTAAAATGTTTGTGGTGGTGAGGTGAGAGTAGCAAAACGCATTTTTTATCCGATGGATTTGATAGAAAATGATGGAGGATTGCAGTGTGTACTGCTGCACAAAGAATCCACACATGTTTTTTGGGAAATCCGATTGACGGCGCGTGTCACGGAGACTGATGATTTTCTTGTCCCGTTACATGGGGGTAACCATTATTGCTAGAATTAGAAATCCTCTTATCTACGACTATTATTTTTATGGTCACTATAAATTCTTAAATATGCTATGTCTAAAAAAATTTTTATCAATGGAAGATTTTTGCAGAGATTTTGTTTGTAAGAATTTCTGTCCTTCATCACTTCATTTATGATTTATGGTATATTATTATTAACTAATAATAAAATCAGGCTTTGTTATTTTTTTTTTTACATACTGATTCTATGGAGGTTGGAGTAATCATAGATGTTATTTATGCAAGTATTATGGGATTTACGTTTGACCTTCCAACTTTGAACTCTAGCTAGTCAAGAAGGTTAGACCTCAATCGGGCAAAATTACCTCATGTTGCAGGTGATATGCAATAGGATTTGAGTTTTAAAATATGTGTAGGTAGATGATTTATATGGTCATCCTAGCTGCAGAATTATTAATTTTGTTTGTGCTTCAGCAACACTAGAAGAGGCGACAAGGCCAATAAATTATGTTAGGCAAAAGACAGCTTGCATTCAGAGAGATATTACATTATGCTGTTAATTGAGGTGCAAAAATCATGTACCAGTGTACATTGTAATAATTCCTACATAAACAATTCTAGTTATATCTGTATAATTTCCTGTTTCTTCCTATTGTCACAGGATGTTGAGTTTGAATCTGCTGATGCAAAGAAACAAGTTCGTGGATCAACATCTACCAAGAGATCTCGAGCTGCAGAAGTTCACAACTTGTCGGAAAGGGTTTGTACTTATAGTATGTTGCAAAACAGTTGATAAACTAGTGTATTTTCGAGTGGTAAGCACCCCTAATAATATTACATTCTAATAGAGGCGGAGAGACAGGATAAATGAAAAGATGAGGGCTTTACAAGAGCTTATACCTCGATGCAACAAGGTCCTTTATATTTCTGTTTTTAGTAGGCATAAGGTTCTATTCAGCTTTTTTATTTATTTTTTATTTTTTTTTCTTTTTCTTCTTATTTTTTTCCTTGCCCTTGAATTGCTTATTTTCTGTTCGCAGTCAGACAAAGCTTCTATGTTGGATGAGGCAATTGAATACTTGAAATCACTTCAGTTGCAAGTACAGGTAAATATTTCCTGTTTTATGTTCTGTGGTTTTCTCGAGTGCAGTTTGATATAACTTCGTCTCTGATAAAACTAATGGAATCTGAATTAATTGTTCATACTGAACTCCGGAGTTTATCCTAATTCCTCACTGTTAGTTTATTTTACATGCCTTGACAGTCTTGAATGCTATATACAATGATGAATTTAGCTTTTTACATTAAGAATGTTTATTTCTCCTCTATCCACCGAATGCATAATGAGAATTTAAGGTGTCACTATGATGTGATTCCTAGCAATTAAACTAGTGAAAGTTATACGTTTTTGCTAAACCTCAACTACTTTTGATCTCAATATTGTTCTGTTTTATAATTTTTTGATGTTCACTTGCTCTATGGAAAATGACTGGCTTTGTAATTTGAGTTTCTTTTAATGGGTGATGATCTAGAGGAATGTTCAATTCAGCATCTATGATTGTGGCTGTGGAATTTTTTTTTAATGGAGGGATTGGGGAGAAAGGGCCCACAATGGGAGGATAATTTTACAAATCGGGAATCGAATGTCTTAGTTGGATATTTTTCCAGTTAGCAAGTCCTCTACTATTCACTGAAGACTGCCTAACGATCAGCCGATCCCAGGGCTTCTATTATGCATGATGTCACAGTTCGATGAAAAATTTGATTGATTAAATTTTACAAGGAGTCGTGCAATAGTAAAAAACTTGAGTTCAAAGCCACAAGAATGCAGGTTTAAGTTTTGAGAGTAGCCATGTAAATCTTAACACACAATTGGTGATGGTGTAGAGCCGCCTCCAAATTGTTCCTTTTTGGGTCCATGCTATTCGGGTAATTGATTTTGCCTTTAGAACTGTCCATTTGTGTTTGAGAAGCAACTTCAGTGTATATGACACTAACCCACTGTCTGGGCAACATCAAGTTCTAATCTGGAGAATGGATTGGTGTCTTCACATAATTACTTCCCATAATTAAGATGCTTCCTTCCATCAATTATGAATTATTAATATACATTATGTAAAAGTATGATGTTCTAGTTTTTTACCTAGCCCACTCTAACCATAGCACTTTCCTTTTCCTTGGTTTGAAGTACCTTTTAATCTCTCAGACTCTTGAGTTTTTTATATGTAAATCTGTGCATGCTATGCTCATGTACGTTTGAGAAATGAAATTTTCATTTTATGCATCATTATCTATGACAAAATTAGATTGTAATTAATTTTTACAGATGATGTCCATGGGATGCAGCATGGTCCCGATGATGTTCTCAGGCATCCAGCAGTATATGCCACCATTGGGGATGGGAATGGGAATGGGCATGGGCATGGACTTGGGCATGAATCGGCCTATGATGCCATTCCCCAATGTGCTAGCCGGTGCACCCTTGCCAACACCAACTGCAGCTGCTCATTTGGGTCCAAGGTTCCCTATGCCAGCTTTTCATATGCCTCCTGTCCCTACCCCAGGCCCTGATCCATCCAGAATTCAAGCAGCCAACCAGTCAGATCCCATGCTAAGTGCTATAAGCGCACAGACTTCGCACCAACCAGGAGTCCCAAGTTTTGCTGATCCTTATCAGCAATACCTTGGTCTCCAGCAGATGCAAATGCCAGTTTCACAGGTTTTTACATTTTTAATCTCCTCATTTTACATCCAAACAAAAGCTTTAATGTGTTGTCTTTATGAAACTCAGACACCCTTGTAGTGCATCCTGTTGCTATTTGGTGGGGAATCCACACTTGTGCGTGCAAGTGTACACAAATAAATTTTCTCATGTGTGCACATACATTCAGAGAACAAGTATATTTCCCATTTTGTCTGTCATCTTTGATGTATTAAATTTCCTGCTAGCAAATATTTTAGAGTTGTTAATTTTTTCAGGGCTTAGCTTGTTTACTTAAAACTTAGAAGGGCTTGCTATACTTGCGCTGATTTTTTAAAACTTTCAAAGGTTTTTCCATATATCTTGATTTGTTATATGTATAGCCTGTTTAGGATTGTTACACACGCCTGCTCAATTTAGTTCGATCCTCCAAATCATCTGTCTTTTTTGAAGTTAATTAATATTGGTTAAACTTGCTCATATCCACAGAACCAAGTAATGACCCGGCCAAGTACAAGCAAGCCAGGTACCAATCAAGGACCTGAGAATGTTGATAATCACCAGTCAGGTAGACTGCTTTGTCTCATATCCTCACACTCAATTTTGTAGAGCTTTTGTTGGTCACAACTCACAAAAATGCGGTGGTTTGGTTTAAAAAGATGAACAGAGTCTAGAAATATGTCAATTAGTGACGCACAGGATACTGCTCTTTGCTTTTGACCTAATGTTATGAACTGTGACCATTGATAAAAAGCTTTACTAGTCCAACTCTATACTGTAGTTGGTGGATACATGCAACATATGAAAATTTGGACATATGTATGTTGATTCTGACTAATTAGTAGTTGTTCGTCGCCATGACCGAGTCAAAAGAACATTGGTAGGAACAGTTAGAAGAGTGTTCTGTGGTTCTCTTTTTTATGTAGTGGAAATATGACGAAAGGAAAAACTAAAGTCAAGTTCTTCACCTGGCTGTTATCTTTTTACCCCAAACTGGACTGAAGAAAGTGGAAGAAATAGTTTAAATGGGCATTGATGTATTTTACAAGTGAACATCCATTCATCTCAATGATGGTTTTTCAACATTTTCCTGCTTTTCATTTCATCCCTTCTAGTTTTAGCTATTGAAAACCATATTTTTCATTTGTTCTACTTCTTAATCTTTCTTTTTTTTTTTTCTTTTTCTTTTTTTTTTTTTTTTTCAACATTTTCCTGCTTCATTTCACATCCTTCTAGTTTTAGCTACTTGAAAACAATAATTTTTCATTTGTTCTACTTCTTAATTTTCTTTTTTTTTTTTTCTTTTCTTTTTTTTTTTTTTTTTTTTTTTTTTTTTTTTTTTGAGGAAACTTCTTAATCCATTTAAGTTTGTTTTATTGTATTATTTCGTCATACCATTCAAAGCTTCATTGCAAAAGACTTGATAGTCACATGCACAAATTTCAGATTTTCTAACAATAGTTGTAACATAAAGTTCTTCAGAACCTTTGTCCACTTCCAAGTTGATTGACTATAAAAATTGCATTCTGAAAAAATAATATAATCTACACAATCCAACTCTTAGTGATTTTCTAAATGTTCTCCAATGGAATAGCTCACTCTTATTTTTTCTGGATGGTATTCTACAGGGACATAATATGCCAATATTAGAATATATAGTTAGCAGAGATTTACAACTGCAGCACTTAGTGGTATAGTTGTGCTGGCCTCTTAGAACAGTGGCACATTGTTGTATCGCAGTTTCATCCAAAGATTGCTCGTATACTGCCCGTGCTGAAAAATATTTATGTCGATGATGGAGCCTCAGCTTTGCTTTCATGCTGAGAGTTTTTGGCATCTCTCTTGTGAAAAGCTCTGCCTACTAAGTTTTGTAGTGTAAGAGAAGCAACATCCCAAAGCAGCTTTTGCAACTGTCTAAAATACAACAATAACACAGCTAACATGTAATTATTTATACCTCCTTTTTTTTTTTTTTTTTTTTTTTTTTTTTTTTTTTCTGTGTATTCTGGTTCTAGTCATCTGTTTCGTTTTATTTTTTTTATTAAAATTATTTTTTATTCAAACAAGTGAAAGTGGTTAAACGATAGAACTTGATGAATATAAAAATGTGAACATTAACCTTTCTTGAGTTCAGGCCGGAGAATATTGATTGATGCTAATTGGCTAATCAATTATTACGTGTTTTTGCCAATGTTTTGTTGTCAAGTTGAAAGAGACAATATTTTGTCCTTTCAGATTCTTGCTATAGTCGTCCCTAACCTTTCACTTTCAGTGCACTCGTTGGAGTAATTAGAAGAGCACTTTGGTTATATTATTCTTTTCCAAGTCAAAAAATGAATTATCAACTTGAGCCATACAGAAATTAAAAAAAAAAAAAAAAAAAAAAAAAAAAAAAAAAAAAAAAAAAAAAAAAAAAAAAAAAAAAAAAAAAAGGAAATGTTATGCGGGTCAATATTAGAATATTTCCTACAACTTTAAAACATCATGGTTTGTATGAACAATGCGATCATCCAGAATAGATTTAGTGCGATTATCGACAAAAAGAACAAGAAATACTGATTCCGTAATATTTTCTTTTCTATCTCACAATGATTCAACTTGCTATGAGACAGTTTTAAGACTGTAGACTGTTGACTGGCAGCAACGACTCCAGAAGAATGACAGCTAGACTGAAGTAGACGGCACAAAGTCCCTGCCTAAACCTGTTCTGCAATATTAAATGCAACCGCCAACTCTTTCCTGTGTCTATTACTGATTGCAGTTAATAGTAGATAACATCTGACAGCAAAGGAAGTGTGAGAAATTGATTACAAATATTGAACACAGAAAAATCTTTTCTCAGTAACAAATTTATTTATCATAAGCATTTACAATTATGATGGCAGCTCGGGAATAATACAACACTAAAGTACCTTGTCAGTGAAGATGCGGAATGCCTCGACCCCCATAGCTTTTTCAAGTTCCTAGCCCGAGAAAACTACAGATTTTAGAAGGGTTTCTTCCTCTTGTTTAAGTTATAAGTAAGATTATTAGAATACATACACTTTCTGGATCTGCAGCAGAATCAATGCTACGTATAAGTTTCCTGAGACTTTCATCCCTCAAAGCGCTTTGAATTTCACTGGAAGAAGCTGTGCATCAAAGGAACATTTACATTTATTTCTTCTGAAAGTAGATATGGGCATTAATTGCTTCTAGATGTTAAAATAACAGGACCAATTAAGGCTTTTTTTCAGTTAGTTAGCTTTTTTTATTTTTGATTTCTGAGGAAGTCCTTCCTAATTTCTATTTCTCTACAAATGAAATTTAACAGTAAGGATGTGTACTAAAGAACATGTAAATCTAACTTCACATCAGATTTAGAAAAAAAGAAAAGCTACCACAACAAAGAATTCAAAGTTTCATAAGCAGCTATCCTTTTTAGTTTTTTAGAACTTGTTCTTGTCCTCTCAGATGCTAGTTGCTTTATCTTATGAAACTTGAGAAAAAGCAAAATAAGCGCGACAGCTCATATTGGATACATAGCAATCTAACTTCACATCAGATTTAGAAAAAAAGAAAAGCTACCACAACAAAGAATTCAAAGTTTCATAAGCAGCTATCCTTTTTAGTTTTTTAGAACTTGTTCTTGTCCTCTCAGATGCTAGTTGCTTTATCTTATGAAACTTGAGAAAAAGCAAAATAAGCGCGACAGCTCATATTGGATACATAGCAACTTTTTTGTTGAGGACCACATTAGACTCGCAGCCCTCAACACAGATCAACCACTACTAACAGAGATTGGACAATAGATCCACTGCTTCTAGACATATGTTCCACAGTTAAAGGGCTATGGTCCTGAGTTTGGATCTAGATATGGATATATAGAGATTGGACAATAAATCCACTGCTTCTGGACATATGCTCCACAGTTAAAGTGTTATGGTCCCAAGTTTTGATGTAGACATGGATCTATTCCATTGAATTTAAAGATAGAATTAGGACTTCTTAAGAGACAATCCTACAATCTCTTAAAGCTCGTTTGAGAGAACTCTTATCTATTGAGTTTTAGGAACTCAAACCTTTGTTTATATGCTGCTTCAGCAACTGAAATCAATGCTAATACTAGTAACTGCCTACTATAATAAAGAAATTGCTTAACCACCACCCACTCATAAAGAAACTGATTCGCACCTTCTTAGCAACACATAATAAAAACAGAACAGTAGAATACTATACAATACCACCTTGTATACCGCACCATCTTAACATAAACCTATTCTCTATTCATCTAACCAGAAGACTGTAAGCTAAAAAAGGCATGCTAACTGAAAGAAGATTAATCTGCAATACGTGTGAAGCCAACTCGCACTTCTAATAATCCAAATAATTGTTATAGATCAAAAAACTCTAAAGAAGACTGAATAAGAAGAATTAAAGTAGATGCCAATGGGCAATGGTCAATTGTGTTGAACACAACATTTTTACTACCAACAATCTAATGAATAGATAGACCAACAAGAATGAATAATTCAACAAAGCTGAAAGCTATTAAGCAATTACACTTCCACAACAATAGTAGGAGACCAAGACCAATAAGAGAGACCATTGTGTATTTAAGGGCATTCCTAGAGCAAACATTCCCACGTTGATAGGGTTGGGGGAGGTGTCTATTTTATATAGCTTCACCCACTCATCACCCCAACCTCTTTTTCCTAAGAGAGGACCTTACGCTTAACAAGAAGCAACATCACCATCATGCTAAGGCTTGCCCTGAGGAGAGTCCCCTTAAGGATATTGAGGTTAAGAAAAGGCTCCATGAAAAAAGATGGGCCATCATACATACCAATATGTTAAGCACCTCTTGTTATTATAAATTATTGCAATCCCTCTCAAGTGTGCAGTGTGATTCCCAAAATAGCCTATTACTCGCACTCATTCTTATTCATTAATAAACTACCAAAATCATATGTACTTCACTGCATATACTATTATTCTATTTGAAACAATGTTGGTAGTTAAGTTGCACAGTATTCGGGTTGAACACCTAGTAAGATAAGAGAGCTTAGTTTGAACACCCTCTCTCTCTCTCTCTCTCTCTCTCTCTCTCTCTCTAACATGGATCATGACTAACAGCTTGATTCTCTTTTACTCCGTAGGGAAGTGGTTCCTATATCTTTCTGGAGCGTTCTTCCATTAAGCATATTCTTATGCTGAGACTAATACATGCTCTTCAAGAAGCATAAATCCTTGCAGACCAGTTCTACAAGCTTTCTGCTTTTATCTACAAAATCATGCTCGACAATCAAAAAGTTCGACCTTTTCATTTGTTTTACTAATCTAGGCAGGGGTGGAGCTAAGACAATTATATTCGATGAGCCAAATGAATTTTTTTTAACTTTTACAGGGCCAAATATAATTTTTCTATATTTTGAGGGATTAAAACATTATCTTCAGAAGAAAACTTTTTTTGTTTTTAATTTTTTTTTGGGGGGTGGGGGGGGTGGGGGTGGGGGGAGGGGGTGGGGGCGCCAGGGCCCCTCAGGCCCCAAGGGAACTGCGCCCCTGAATCTAGGCATCAATATAAATACTTGCAATATTTACTCTGTAGTCTCTTCATATTGCTCATAACACAACACAATCCAGAAGAGGGAAAAAGGAAGGTCATCGTGCAATAAAAAATCTTCTTTAAAATGGGTGTGGAAGTAAGTGCATTTCTGTTCTATTGCAGAAAACAGAATAAAGGAATTTTTGAAAAAAAAAAACATAAAAAAAAGAACCATTTCAGGTACTACCTTCAAGCTTGTCGCAAGACCTCACCTATAGATTCTAGTTGTGGTTTTAGCAGCACCTCACTTGCATCATCAACAATTAATGGCCTTCGTATAGGCAGCTTAGGATCAGCAGCTGACAAATATGAAACAAATGCATGCAATTACTAAAGTTCAAGAAAAATATTATTGAATTAAATCCAATGCAATTAGAATACCGAGCATGAACAAGTGCAAGTCAATGCAATCTCTTTCTTTGACTAAAAGCAAACTGATAGTCATTCAATTCCCTTAAAATTATCACACAAGCAAAGCAGTGAATATTTGTGGCTTTGTGCACCCATGTAACAGCATGTGAGGAGAAAGTAAGGAGAAAGAAGATATTCACTTAATTACACAAATAAAGATAGGATAATGACAAATTAAAACATCTAATAATTACAATATATATCAAACAAAGCGTATTAAATTATTGATTAACATTTTACTGAGTAATAAAATTCTTACTTGATTTTTCCTCTGCAGAGACAGTGCTTGACTTTTCCTCCTTAGGTTCCGGCTTAGCACAAGGGATTTCTGCATAATTCATTTACGCCATTTACACCTTAATCAGTTTATATTCCAGATAGCAAGTTGCTAACATCGCAAGTACAATGCATATTACAGGATATACCATTAGTGAACTTTACCTAGAAACCAGATTGTAAATGGTCTGAAAGTACACACACAAACCATCTATGATTTCTTCCCCTTTATCAATCTCATTAGCCATTCTTTATATGTAGATTATCATCTCAAAACTTAATACTAAACAATCACTGCCATTTAGAAAGCTTAACTTATTGCTTTCATCTCTCTCAATAACAATAATCAATAAAAACCAAATAATTCATATATTAACTTATTGTAATAATTGTAAAATATAAAATGGGCAAACATTCTGATTAGTAATCGAAAAGAAAATACCTTTGTGTTTCTTGAAGCAGCCCAGAGAGCAACTGCAAGGAAGGAGACAAAGGCAAATAAACTAAACAGAGAGAAGAAATAGAAGCAACTAAAGATGAATTTGTGAAAGTTTGAGGTGTGGTTACTATGGAGCCAAACATGAGGGGCACTTGTACTTAGATTGAGCTTCATTGCAGACTTGACATTTTCTAGCACCCATTTAACCTGTTTCGGCTGTAAAACCCTAAATCCCACTGCTAAAAGAAGGAGATAGCAATGGCGGAAGTTAGATGATACGTCGAATTTGTATACAACGTCGAGTACTATTAGACCGTCCTAGCGATTTTGCTCTTCTTTTCTTTCTGGAATTTTAATTTTTGATCGTTGCTTGGAACGGCAACAACGGTAGACAGTTGGGTTTTGTTTTTTTTTTTTTTTTTAGGGAAAATATAAGTTTTGTTTTTTTTTTTTTTTTTAGGGCGGAGCAAAATATAAGTAATCGGCAATTAAAATCTTGTAAAACTCAACTAATATTACTATTTTAAATTTTTTACATCTAAATTGTATTTCAAAAATTTTGGTCCAAAAATAATCTGATGGTTTAAAAATTCAGTTAATTCTTTTTAGATTTTGAATATTGACATAGGAGGACGGAACAAAATTACCCGTTAAATATCAAATTATGAATCTCAAAAAATAAAATAAAAAAATAAAATTATGCACTTACCAATTATCACTATAAGTGCCACTCTAGTACCAATACTTAAACTTGACTTGGAAAATTTTTTTTATTGAGATTTCACATTATTCAAATATTGTTTAGTTAGGGAAATAAGTGCTAAGAGTATTTAAATAATACCAAGATTTTTATATTTTTTTAAATACAAAAAAAATTAAATGTTATGATGCAGCGAAGTCATTAACATAGAATCTAACTTCACGTTTTCTTTCTTCTTCCATCTCTTATTGGACAATTTTCAATTTGTAATGTTCAAGTCATTCTTTTCAGTAGATTTCAATCGACATTTCTTCAGTTGTCTAAAACCAAATTCTTGATTAACCCTAATAAAAAAGAACAGAGGTAAAAAAAAAATCTCATCCACGGCGATTTGTTAAAAATTAGATCACAGACCAACAGAACCAACCATATGGTAAGCAAAGCTTTAGCAGCTTTCTCATTTGTAATAAAATCAAGGTTGGAGTTAAGAGGCACCTCCAAAGATGCAAGTGGTTTTTTGACGTTATGCCTGGAAGGGCACATCGGTCAACCTGATGTGAAATAAATACATAAACATTTTCATTTTCGCATCTAAATCCAACGAGCAGAATTTTGATTAGTTGACAACCAGCATCTCCATATCTTTAAGTCCAAAAAAAAAAAAGGGAAAAACCAAATTTAGGATGCAAGGACTTGATACAGAGACAGAAGAGTGAAAAGCAGAAAGATTTCTATTGTATACGTAATACAAGATCAGTCCTTTCACATATAAAGTCCTTCTGGTACCCCTTCCTTCTTCTTGAACATGACCTTTTCTTTTGCCTTCTTGAAGTCGGCATGAGTCACCTGAACATAATTTAAATAAACAGAAAAAAAAAAAAAAAGAAAAGAAAAAGTAAGGACCAGGACAGCCGTGTAGGTTTGAAATTCAGGAAGGCCTCGGAAGGAGTTCAATTCTACAATTCATGTTCCCCTAAGTGAAGGCCAGATTAGGAATTTGAAGGACCAGCCACCGACATTTAGCACTCTTAACTAACTAGTGCACTGGCTGTACCAAAAATTGGAGGTGACAGACCAACACAAAATGGCCTAAGGGATGAGATACAAACTCTTTTCCCAACATAGGGACATGACAGGCATGGGCAATTTTTTTAAAAAAACAATTTAAATCATGGCTTCTCAAAAGTGGCATGGACTTGAATCTAACTAAACTTCCATGTGAAGAAGAACAATCTAGTATGAGCTTAAAATGGTAAAATTTGAATATCAGAGTTTTATCAGTAAAATGCTCACCTTCATGCGCCTCTCCCTCAAAGCAAGCAAACCCGCTTCAGTACATATAGCCTTTATATCAGCTCCAGAGAATTCATCTTTAGTCATAACAAATTCTTCTAAGTTGACATCATCAGCCAATGTCATCCTTGATGTGTGTATCTACACTCAGATAAGAAATTACCAGTTACACAAAGGGACAAGCTTAAAAGATTCAATAAAGATGGGGACAGGATATGATATTTAAGATGATAGAGGGAAAGATCTTCCATGTACTTTTATGGCATCAGTCACAAATACCTGGAAAATGCGTCGCCTTGTTTTGATATCAGGAAGTGGAAATTCAATCTTCCTGTCTATTCGACCAGGCCGAAGCAAAGCAGGATCAAGACTTTCAATTCGGTTGGTTGCAAGAATCACTTTCACATCTCCTCTTGAATCAAAACCATCTAACTGGTTCAGCAATTCTAACATGGTTCTCTGGATTTCGCGTTCACCACCTGAGTGAGCGTCATACCTACAAAAATTATTGCATCGTGACTGCCCTAAGATAAAATCTATTCAGCCATAAATTCTTTCTTCCCCTTTATTTTAGTTCTATTTACGAGTGAACCATAACCAGTCAGGGGCTTACCTCTTTGTACCAACTGCATCAATTTCATCAATAAAGACAATTGATGGTGAGAGATCATCAGCAACTCTGAAAAGCTCCCTCACTAATTTTGGGCCATCTCCCAAGTACTTTTGAATTAATTCACTACCAACAACACGTAAGAAAGTTGCTGATGTTGAGTTTGCCACAGCCTGACAAAACAAATATGAGGCTTAAAAAGTCGGTACTAATTTGTTAACAACTCCAATTCAACTGAGGATAATTTCATGCCACTCGAAAGCAAATGAAAATCCATATACAGGAGAACGTATTTGGTTTATTAATTAGGAAATAGGAAGTAAGGATGTGTGAAATGATATCATATAACTGCCGTCATCAGAACAAAGCAAGCTTACCAAGGCAAAAATAATTCAAACCAAGTTAATAATACACTAACAAGCTTATTGCTTTCAAAGGAGTCATTAGCATCCCTAATGCAAAGAGAGAGAAAACAACTAAGTTTGACTACTCCATTATTTATAAGTAGAATTCCCTCTATCAGAGTTTATTCAAAGTTAAGAGAAGAGAGAGATTTAAATAATAATGCTACTGTAATCAATTATAAGACATGACTCATTTAAGTGCAATAATATAACAGGAAATAAAGACTTTAAGTATAAACCTTTGCAAGCAAGGTTTTGCCAGTCCCAGGCTCCCCATATAATATGACTCCCTTAGGAGGTTTAATACCAATATCTTCATACAGCTCAGGATGAGTCAGAGGAAGCTCAACTGCTTCTTTAATTTCCTGTATTTGGGCATCTAAACCACCGATATCAGCATAAGATTCCAACGGAGCCTTCTCAACCTTCATCACAGACACCATAGGATCAACTTCATCTTGAAGAAGCCCAACAACAGATAGAACCTGACAAGGAGCCACAAATAAATTATCAATGAACTTCATTTTTAGCTTTTTTTTTTTTTTTTTTTTTTTTTTTGTTTTTTTTTTTTTTTTTCTCTTCTTTGTTTTTTTTTTTTTTTTTTTTTTTCTCTTCTTTGCATTCAATAAGACAACAAAAGAAAATTAATTCACATCAAGATTACAGAAAGCCAACAAATTGCATAAAAACTCATTCTAGGATGCAATGATTTGAAACAAGAGAGTATTCAAACAAACTTGACTCCTTATTCACTTAGTAAGATTATAGTTACCAATTTCATGAATATGATAAAAAACTCTTTTGAGGTGGATTTCAAATGACACATCTTTCATAAGATGTTTGAAATCTACAACCAAATAAGGGTTTTCCACATTCATGAAGCTAACCAAATTCATGATTGTAATCAACTAAAGAAAACCAATGCATTATCACTTTAAATATCACATTTCAAAGTCCTCCATCCAAACGGAATGCAAGCAAAATGTTTGGTTCAGATTGGAAATTTAATCGGAATAAAAATGGATGTCTAGATCAGAAAAGTCTGTATCTGAAAAATAAATTTTATTTGAAGATAACTAAAAATAATTTAATGGTAATCTTAAAATTTACACCTAATAGTAGATTCCATTGGATAAAAATTGAAGCTATTCAAATATAAAAGTATCATAAAAATTTCAGAAGCCTTGCAAAACAAACAAACAAACTAACTGGATTCCTATTTCAGAAATTTCATTCTGTTCCTATGCCAGAGCAAAACAATATTGCCAAAGAGAATATGAGAAAATATGATACAAGTACCTAGGTTGCACCTAGCAAGTAATACCATACTCCATAAGTACATTAATGCTTTCCCCATACACCTTGCTAAAACTCCTACAGCCTTGGACAAAGATAAAAACGCCATAAGAACAAAAATCTCAGCATAGCACATAGAAAAAATTTACTCACTCACCATCACATCATTCAAGAATACAATGCACAAATGACAACACATTCTGGTAACTTTTTATCCAATATGAGCACAAAAAATACATACACCATACAAGAGCTGCAGCAAACAGAACTCGAGCCCTTCGCTTCAACCTACATACTAAGAAACACTGGCTATCTAAAGTCACTAGTCGCAACTGTCTACAATTTAAGTTTCACATGACAGAACTTCACCGATTGAGTAAAACTTAATGTTAAAAGTCCTAATTCTTTCCCTACTAAAACAATTGATCAACCAGCACTTAATTTTCCAATCACTACGAGCATATCTCACTTCCAGACAACAAAGCCACAGTGTCAAAACCCTAAACTCATGATATCCAACAAATCAACCTTCAAACTAATAAATTACTCAAAATCATCCCCAAGTAATGGATAACTTCAAATAACCCGATATCAAGGTATCTAAACTAATAAATTATGCAATAAACAACCAAGAAACCCCAAAACCCATTACCTTATTATGCATCAAGATAGCACACCCAGGCTCCAGCTGGTCCTTATCAACAAAAGACAAAATCCCAACATAATATTCAGGCCCAACAGAAGACGAAACAATGGCGTGATTCTCATCAATCAACTCCTCCAAGTTCCCCACACTCATCGGCGATCCTCTCAAATCATCAACCTTAGATCGGTCCTCCTCAGCTTTCTCCTCCTGAGGCTTCAATCTCTCCTGATTGGCTACAAACTCCTCCTCCATCAGTAGATAATCCTTAATTCGCTCTAACTTCAAGAGTCTCAATTTGCACTTTGACAATGGCGTCACCGTCGGCAACCGAGCAGCAGCCTCTGGTCCTTTTTGCTTGCGCTGTTTGCGACCAACGCGAGCCGGTGGTGCTGCTGGCTCGAATTCTGGTCCTTTTTGCTTGCGCTGTTTGCGACCAACGCGAGCCGGTGGTGCTGCTGGCTCGAATTT